ATTTGCATCATGCCGTGCAGTGGGCTGTGACCTGATTCATGATTGTTTCGCGCTTGCGGGATCTGGCTGTAGTCAGTGTGTGGCGGTTAGAGCGGCTTCCTGCCAGCATGTCGCCTTCTTTGAGTGGGCTTGCCCAGCTGTGGGAGAACAACGAGTTTGTCCGGCGCCAGCTGGTACATCACGGGTCCTTGTTGAAGTGGCCCAAGCCAGAGTGCTGTGGGGTCATCTCCTTGGAAGCATTGAGTCACAACTTCGATGTTCTTTGGGCCTGTGTTGATATCTGGGCCTCGCAACGCTCTGAGCCGAAGTGCCTTCCGGTCAACCCTCTCAAGAAAGAGGTGCTTACTTGCGCGTTTAACACAGTGTTTTGTTGCAGTTTCCCAGACCTACGCGCTTGCCGCCATGAGCGTGCCAGGTGCGCAAACTTCGCTTGAACCTGCGCATGTCCACACACGCTGCCTTGATCCAAACAGAGTCCCACTCGATGAAGCAGCTGTTCACTTTGCTGAACCGCCGGAGTGACGCTGGAAGCAGACGTGTCCCTAGGCATGATTCATGCACATCTGATGTCAGAGTGTGTTGTGGTCCGTGTCATGAGCTGGTATGTTACGCATCTAAGGATGCAAACGTGCAAAAGCTTTTCGAGCATTTGGCCAAGTACTGGAAGCCCAAAACCCCTCGGTCAAAGCAGTGCCTCGAGGACAAGGCTGAGGAAGAGGACAGCGGCAGCGAAGACGACCAGGATGAAGAGGACCGAGATCGTCTCATCGGGCAGGAGCGCACCTCGGGAGAGTCTACACCAGACACTGCCCGGAATGCTGCTGAGGATGAGTACTTGGCATGGTCCCTGGGTGGTCAGTTCAAAGAGGTGCCGGATACCCCTCAAGCTCCTGGGGACTTGGACAAAGCACTGGAGGAGTTGGAGCGGCTTGAAACCAACATGCATACTCAATTGAACTTGTTGGGGTTGTGATACCTTTCTGCTAACATAAACCTCTGTGCCCAGGAAACAGATGTCTGAACGGCGTGCTGTTCTTGCTCAGCTCAAGGTGCCAAAGACATGGGAAGGTGGGGACCTGTGTTAATTCCACAAAGTTGTGAACATGTGTTTTCCAGGTTGCCTCGACAATGCTGACACGCTCCCGTATGACCCATCCCTGGCTTTGGAGTTGAAAGGCTGGATTCACATCCTGGATGTTCCCTTGATTACTGAAAAGGTGGCGTGTTCAATTTGCCCTCCCGGCCAGGTTTGGACCAGCCTGGATCTCAGGCTCAGCCCTCTCAAGGTGTGGCGGGCGATGACCGGCTCTTGCGACTAAAGACGTTGACGCTCGGGGAGGTCCCTGAAGAGACAGGTGAAGGCTTCAATGACCAGGAGACCCTGACCAATCAGGGTGCCCCAGCCAGTAGTCAGGACCAGACCGCGGTGCCGAACAATGAGGAGCTGAAGGCCAGTGGCCAGGATCAGCCCCCCATTGCCCCAGAAACAGCCGCCAAGGAAGTTACGCCGCCTGCGTTTGCGTTGGGGGCTGGTAGTGCCTCGGAAGCTGCTGAGATGCACAGTGGGCAGTGCAACACAGCCGCTCCCAAAGGAGGGCTTGTCCAGGTGTTCGGGGATGCTGCCAGCAATGGCGACCAGCCACTGCCGCCACCACCTCTTGCCAAGGCCCCTGAGATCAGCCAAGAACCGCCTTGCGTGCCTACCCCTTCTAGCGTGGAAAAACTCAGCCCGGCTTTTGAGCCTACAGGTTCCCCGCGGTCGCCAGTGCCAACAAACAAGGGCAAGGTGGCCAGTGTCAGCCCTACGCTGATGGACATCGCACAGGACGAGGCGGACGAGGCGGGCTGGCACGGGCGCATCGACCTGTGTACAGTCCCCAGTCATTCCAAATGAAGTAGTCATGCTCGCTTTACAAAAGCAGTACCATGCTGAAATTGAAGGGCCGTACAAAACACTTCGGCGTCCGAGACTTGCAAACCACATCCGAGGTACCAAGTACAACCCTTGTTTTAAAGGGACTTGAGGTTTGACTGCTAGTTGTGCCACACTTCTCTCTGGCTGATGCTAGTGAGTCATCATGGGTAATTCTAGTTGTGAACGTGCTAGCTGGGATTGAGGTTCCCTCCTGACACCAAATGATTGCCTGTGTTTGGTGGCTCCCCTTCGCGAACGGCATGGCAGGACAACATCACCCGGAAAAAGCAGAAGCAGCTCAAGGACAACCTGGGCAGGCCCAAGAAAAGGCCGGCAGCTCATGAACCCGGCAGCGATGATGACATGCCTGAAGCCCCAACAAAGAAACCCAAAACCAAGCCTGCTGGCAAAGGGGCTGTGAACAAGCCAAAGCCAAAGTCCAAAGCGAAAGCCAACTCCAAGCCCTCGAGTGCTGAAAAGGCAACTCCGAAAGCGAAGGTGGCCAGAAGCAACAGTGGTTTGACACCAGACAAGCCAACCCCGAAGAACAAAGCAAAGGCCCGTTCCAAGAGTGGTCTGGCTGAGAAGCCGAAGTCTACCTTTGCCCGGCGATACCAGCCCAACACCAAGGATGGCTCGAAGTGGTGGTGCGCTCTTTCCAAAGTGTTCAATGAGGCTATCAAGGATTCAGTGACGCGGCCGTCTTCCTTGGAGGACAAGCGTGGTTGCCAAACATTTCCTCCCCACATGTAAGTAGAACCCTTGAACACGTGTGCGTGTGTTTGTGTGTGTGTTGTCTGTGTAGTGTTTTTGATTTGTGTGTGTGTGCTTGTATGTGTCTGTGTGTTTGTTTGTCTGTTTCTCTGTTGTCTGTGTGTCTGTGTGCGTTTGAAATGTGCTATCGATCTGTGTGTATGTGGGCACTTTTCTTTGGTTGTGTTTGTGTGTCTGAGCTCGGATGTCTGAACCAGTTTTGGTGCCTGTTTGTCCTGTATCGTCTGTGTCAAGTCTGTGCCAGTTTCTGTTAGTGTGTATGTCTTTGTGTGTGTGTGTGTTGTGAATGGCGTTCTTTGTGGCCTGAATGTTTCCTGCTGTGCCTATCTCCCCAGGACCCCTTCTGGAAGTTCTGCTCGCGAAAGTGGCGCTCTCTCTCCCCAGATGAGAAAACCTCCCAGACCTATCAGGATTTGGCACGGGAGAGTGCCAAGGAGTTAGACCAAGTGAGGGGGCCCGGCCTGGAAGCTGGAAGTCGCCTCCGCCGCCATCAGCAGGGCAGCCCTGCGAGGATCGGAGTGGGAGACATGACTCGGAAGGGTCATGCATGACAAATCTGATCCATAGGTCAGGCTGTGGACCTGCTTTCTTTCAATCTTAGTTGAAGCTTCCGCATGGGATCATCCAGCGGGGAAGCCATCGATGCCAGGTGGCCCGGGTGAAAAAAAACAAGAATTGCCTTCGAGCGGGCTGTTGCACTCACTTATGCATGTGGACTTCGATCCCGTTAGTTTTCCGCAGGTACACATCGTCATGCCGAGATTTGTGGCAGCATTCAACTTCATCCCCATTCTTGGTCTCTCTGGCTAGCTTCCTGACCTGCTTGCAAGTTTGAGCCCTTGTGTGTTGCTGATTCTGAAACAGCTGGCATGCCCGGTCGACGCAGTTCCAAGCCTCGCAGTGCTGCGTAGCTGAGTAGCTGCGCTGGTCCACGCCCATGACGCCTGAGCAGATCGAGCTAACAGCGCGGAAGCTGATAAGCCTCCACGCCCCCAAGGCTGGAAACCGTGGTGCAAAGGTTTCCCCCCTTGGTCCTCGTGACAGAACGCCTCACTGCCCAAGTTGTGAAACAATCCTGGGTCAAGGTGTTCGTCCTCTTGTTCCTCTGCGTCCATTGGCTGAACATTCCGGCTGATGGCCCGGACATTAAAATCCTGGAGCTGTTCAGTGGCCGAGCCAGGCTGTGTCGCCTAGCAAAAGCTTTGAACATCTCAGCCCAAGCTCATGACATTACATATGATGACTCGAAGCCCCGTTCAGCATTCGATATCAACGAATCTGCAGGCTATATGCGGCTTTGGCGGGTTTCATCAACGCTTCTTTCTGGAGGAGAGATGGGACAAACTAAGCAAAGCCAAGGACTTGTTCAACTTCCAATAGAATTTGCTTTTGCCCTGACGGGAGGGTTGGGCCCTTTTATGTGATCTGGTTTGGGGCTTTGGTAAAAACCAAGGGGACTTTGTGGTGGTCTTTGGGGGTATTGGTTTCCCGCCACGCCCAAAGCCTGCCACCGAGACTCGCTCTCCTGGCCGTGGTGCGGTCCCGGCACGAGCACCTGGTCTGTCTCATGGGGATATGCTGCAGCAGCTGGGTGATAATCAATGCTGGAACAAGTCAGCGGGACGAGTTGTGTCCCATGGGGAATCCCGGGATTCCCTCAGTCCGGATATCAAATTTGATGGTGGCAAGGCGTCTCTGCAAGAAGAACCATGTGTCCAAATCAGTGTGTAGTGGTATGCAGAGCACACACAAACACACGCATGCCCGACTGAGGTGCAGCATCTACATTTTGCTCTTAATAGCAGCTGATGCAGTGCCACTGATAGAGCAACCAACTTCCAGTCTGCTTATGTCACATGACCGGATGAAGTGGCTGGTCAAAATCCTGCGATCCAAACGAATATTCGCGCCTTGTTCAAACCTTTCTGTGGATGGGGTATGTGGCAACCATGCCAAGGGCTTGATACTTTCGTTGCTGCGTGCTTGGGCAGCTTAGTTGTGGCGCCAGCAATTCTGGATGAAGCACTTTGGCCACAAGAATTGGAAACGGACCAAACTGTGGTCATCGAGCTGTTTGGTGTACCGCTTCAACCTGGGCAAAATCAATCCCAAAGTTGACAAGAACGAGACCAGCACAACCAAGCGCTATGTCAATCGAGAAGGGCGCCCTGGATGGACAGCCTCGAGGCATTTAAAGGAAACCCAGCGCCCTGCTTGCAAATGAGGGTCTTAGAGGGCCAATGCATGCAGGGCCCAAACGGCCTGAACCATTGCAGCTGCAACAAGACCGTTTGAAAAACGAACAGGTTTCATGTCTAGGCTCCTCCCTCCTGCTGAGCCCAGGGATTACGTGCCGGCCTTCTGCTCGAAGATCCTCTCGATGAGAAAGGCTTTGCTGAGGACCAGGCCTCGCATCCGCAAGGCGGGCCACTGTGGGATTGAGCGCTTTCCTAGTCTTTCCCCCCACCCACCCACACCCCCCCCCCCCCCACCCCACCCACACCCCCCCCCCCCCACCCACACCCCCCCCCCCCACCCACACCCCCACCCACCCACACCACCCCCCCACCCCCACCCCACCCCCACACCCCCCCCCCACACCCCCCACACCCCCCCCCCCCCACCCCCCAGCAGGAACCTGCCGACACCCCTGAAGGTTGACACAGAAACACCTTTGTCGACTTTGGTGGAGGGGATGGACTCCTCCGATCCTTGGGATGATGCTAATCTCTGTGAGTGTCTGCGGTATGCTGCTGCAAGAGCTGCAGTGCCTGATGCATTCAAATCCATCCTGGAGGAATTTCTTTAGGTTCCCTGGGAAAGCCGCACGCAATTCAACCAATTAGAGCAGGTTGGGGCACCGCAGTGAGACATGTTGGAAAAATGGTTGCCTGAGAACACACACATTACACAAACACATGGAAACACACACAGCAAACCACAAAAAAACACAACAGACATGGACAAAACAGAAATCTGCTACGGCGTCTTTCGGCGTCCAAACGGCGTCTTTCGGCGTCCAAACGGCGTCTTTGGGCGTCCTGCCATTTTGGACCCCCTCATAAAACATAATTCAATCCTTGTTTGGGGGTGGCTGTATCTGCTCAAGTGGCTTTGAGATGTCGACAGACACACTGGGGCGTGGAATCAGAATCCTGCGGCAAGCTACCATGAGCCTGGAATCTGATCCCCTTTACCAAGACATGTTGAAGGAGAAGAACAGACTCCTGGTTGCTAGGTGGCAACAATGCTGTTGACATGCGGGGTGTTTTCAACTTGGCCTTCCTATCCGCTTACAGGGCCATCATCATGCAAGGCTTTGAAGAATGCCCGATATCATCATGGATCGACCGATGGCTTTGAGACTGGTTCCCAGCTACCATCCCCTGTGACTTGTCTGATCCTTGAACATGTGTGTTTCAGCACCCTAGGGGGCCCAGCCTTTGCAAAAACGCCCAGGCACATACCCTTCCGGAGGAGCCCGAAACCCAGCCAGCAAGTGTCATTCCAAAAAGCTTGGACACTCAGCTGGCAAATCCGGATGAGCCTCAAACCCACTTGGCGGATCCGGATGAGCCTCAAACCCACGTGGCGGATGGAGAAACCCAGCAAGAGACCCCGCCGCCAGCGCAGTCAGTGCCCCTGGTCGACTTGAGGAGCCCGGCTGAAGTGGCCGGGGTGGCAGCCGATCCTGGCAAGGCACCCGCTGGGGATGGGAAACCGGTGGAGAGCCCTGAGGATGCGCCGAGCCCACAGGACGAGCTGGCAGAATCCGGTGGGGAAGAGGATGATGAGGTGTCTGCTGAGGCGCCTGCTGAGGCGCCTGCTGAGGAGAAAGCACCGCCCAAAAAGGAAACCATGGCAGCCATCAAAAAACGCCTTGAGAGGCTGTGCAAGCCCAAGGCGGACGGAACCCTGAAGGTTCCAAAAGATGTTGTTGCTGACTACCACGATCTCAGCAAACGCCATGTGGTGATGAGTTTGTTCGAGAAGACTGGCTACTGCAGGGACAGGGCTTGATGGTTGCTGTGTCACTGCATGGTTTGGCGCTTGAAGCAAACATGTGCCTGGAGCTGGCATGTTCAAGCCACCACTAGCATCATAAGCAGGGCCCTGAGGACCTATTCTTGAAGAAGGTTCGCAAGATTTACGAATCGGTCGAAGAAGCCGTGCTCGAATCGAATTATGAATTCCTCACAGAAGATGATATGAAGAAGGAATCATGGAGTGAGCCCCCCGACTCAAAACACTCATGTGTAGCAAATGTTAGTCGGAATCTGTGTGCTTCCCCTTTTCTAGGCTTCTTGGTGCTGTGCCTAAGGAAGAAGATTCGGGGTGTCAAGCGCCACTGCAACACCAGGCCTGGATGGACAAGGTGGGCCTCAAAAAAACTTTGGTGTGCTGCCCTCTGCTCTCAAACCCGGTTAACACCTGACCCCCCCCTACCCCCCTACCTTCCCGCCAGGAAGAGCGACTATGGCGAGGGGACGCTCTACTGGGCACTGGTCAGCCAAAAGGGCTCCAAGAAGCTGCTTGGCTGGAAGAACATGTTGGACCACAAAGCTGCCAAGAAGAAACTGTAAGTGTCCAGCCAGCTACAGCCATGTTAAGGTTTGGGCACAGAACATGATACCCCATAATGGCCTTGCCATGTAAACCGTTTTCACTTAGGTGGGAAAGACTGTTTGATGCCCAGGGTGCTGAGGCCCATCAAAAAAAGAGCATCAGGGACGGGTGTTCTTTCCCATGTGCTGGACCTTGTTTGCTGGGCCGGGATGCACTGGATCCCCAACCACGCCTCGTGCAGGAAGACCCGCCGGCAGATCCTGCAAGAGATCGTCGATGAGGAGCTGAAGGAGTCCTCGGGGAACAAGGTCAGCGGCAAGGTGCGCAAGATCGATGACGATTTCGTCATGCAGGATTCCTCTGGCCCCTCGGTTGGTTGATTACTTCTGCAACCCTTTTGACAGAAAAGTAGCCACCAAAACAGAGCACCCCTGCCTAACCTTGAACTTGGCTTGGTTGGAGTTTGGGTAGGGCTCTCAGGGTCATACCGTGGGAGGCTAAGGCTGGGTTCTTTGAATGGTGTCTGACTTCTGTATGTGTGTGTGTCTAAACGGTGCTTGTCATTGACCAGGTTTAGTTGATGCACTTGCACACCATTTAAAGTCAGGGGGGTTGAACTGCTGTGGGTCTGGCATGGCCTAATGGATTTCGGAAGTGCACAGTGGAACCTCTGAGCACTTTGATCTGGGTTGTGTTGCGGGGTGGGCGGGAATGGAGAAGGAAGTCCCTGTGGCTATGTTGTGAGGCCTCAAGATCGAACACTGGTTCGCACGCTTTTGGTGAGAGGAACTGGCGGCCAAACAGCTAAACAAACTGTAGTGGTCTCTTTCTGGGATGATGTGCTCAAACAACCCCTATGCATGAGATGTTATTTTGGGGATGTTTGGGGTATCAACTGGGGGCTTGATTTGATGTGTTCCCCTTTTTCTTCCGTGGCCTCTCGGTGTAAAACAGGTACAGTGTGGGCTGCCGTACTTCATCATAGCTTTATTTTAGCCACATGAAACCTACAGCTCAACCTCTGCTTTCCTGAGTGGGGTTGAGAACTTGGATTGGTAATTCGAAATTGGAGCTTCATCTTCCAAGGCTCAGAATCCGCTGACGATGATGATGTGGAATCTGATGATGGGGCAGCGCAGTCAGGCGTGTTGAAAAAGGTGGCCTTTCCCGACATCCAGAAGGAAGCTCAGCCCGCCACCCTTTGCCCCAAAGTCACCAAGTGCATCAGCAAGCGGTTGGACAAGCTCAAGCACCACATGAACCGCTTGGACATTCCGTCGGATGGACTGAACAAGGATGTCTGCGACAAGCTCCTAGGTGTCATTATCCATCCTTGCGTGGATTTTTTGTAGAACGCTTTATCCTTTAGGAAGCGCTCATGTTTTCTGTTTGTTTGTTTTTAATCTGGTTGCAATCTGCTCCAGGAGGCTTCAAAACACAGGCAAACAATGTCCTCTGCAATACCGGTCCTGATGGAAGAAACATCGGATTGTGCCTTTGTTTTTTGTGTTTGCCATTTTGGACCCGAGGTCTGCAGGAAGAAAGCACGTTGCTTTATAACAATTGCTGCCGCCCCAGTCCCCTGACCACGCAAGTCCGCAAACCAAAAACTAGAAGACGAGTGGCCCGAAAGCATTATCCACGCAGAGGGTTCACCAAAACAAAGACCATGCGCACGATCCACGCAGAGGGTTGAAGAAAACAAAGACCAAGCGCACGATCCACGCAGAGGGTTCACCAAAACGGCGGGCGGGCGGGCGGGCGGGCTTCGCGCCAGCTATGCCTGGCAAAGGTTCTTCCGCTGGATTCTTTGGTAACTTGCACCATCCACGCAGAGGGTTCACCAAAACGAAGCTGCGGGCGGGCGGGCGGGCGGGCGGGCGGGCGGGCGGGCGGGCGGGCGGGCGGGCCCGCCTTATAAGAAGTTATTTATACTTTCGACTCAAGTTCTCTGTGCAAGTTCTCTGTGTCATCTTTCCGTTCAAGTTCTCTGTGCAAGTTTGTCTGTGCAAGTCTCTCTGTGCAAGTCTCTCTGTGCAAGTTTCTCTGTGCAAGTTTGCCTGCGCAAGTTTGTCTGTGCAAGTTTGTCTCTGTAAGCTTCTCTGTGCAAGTTCTCTGTGCAAGTTTCCTCTATTCGCGAAACACTTTCGTACTTAAAAGTTGCGACATTCCAGCCGGAGCTGCGAAAGTTTACTTCACGTGCTACTTCGGTACTCAAAAGTTGCGATATTCCAGCCGGAGGAGCAAAAGTTGACTTCGCGTGCTACTTTCGTACTTAGAAGTTGCGATTTTCCAGCCGGAGCTGCGAAAGCTTACGTCGCGCGCTACTTTGGTACTGAAAAGTTGCGATTTTCCAGCCAGACTTCGCTACAACTTTCGTACTCAAAAGTTGCGATTTTCCAGCCGGAGCTGCGAAAGTGTACTTCGCCTACTACTTTCATACTTAAAAGTTTCGATTTTCCAGCTGGAGCTGCCGCGGACCAAGGGGGAATCGAGCCCGCGACCGCGGGATTGCGAAAGCAGGCGCGCAAACCACGAGACAACTTCAAAAGGCAATTTCGCGAGTAATAAAATTGCACGGCGCCACAGCGAGAGCGCTTCGACACGCACGATCTCCGCAGAGGGTTCGCCGAGGACTAAGACGAATTCGCACGGCGCCACAGCGAGAGCACGTCGACACGCACGATCCCCGCAGAGGGTTCATCCGCGCACCGCAAAAACGCAAAAACCCTCGAGTTTTTGCACCTCGACCACGCCGGTCCCCACAGAGGGTCGCGCGGGCATGTCAAAAAGTAGCAAACCACTTGGGTTTTTGTACATTGACACGCACGATCCCCGCAGAGGGTCGCGCGGGCATGTCACAAAGTAGCAAAACACTTGGGTTTTTGTACATTGACACGCACGATCCCCGCAGAGGGTCGCGCGGGCATGTCAAAAAGTAGCAAAACATTTGGGTTTTTGTACATTGACACGCACGATCCCCGCAGAGGGTCGCGCGGGCATGTCACAAAGTAGCAAAACACTTGGGTTTTTGTACATTGACACGCACGATCCCCGCAGAGGGTCGATTTTCGTAAAACGTCGTCGGCCCTACCCCCGCCGCCTTATAAGTTATTTATACTTTCGACTCAAGTTCTTTGTGCATTTATACTTTCGACTCAAGTTCTTTGTGCAAGTTCTCTGTGTCAGCTTTCCGTTCAAGTTCTCTGTGCAAGTTTGTTTGTGCAAGTGTGTCTGCGCAAGTCTCTCTGTGCAAGTCTCTCTGTGCAAGTTTCTCTGTGCAAGTTTGCCTGCGCAAGTCTCTCTGTGCAAGTTTCTCTGTGCAAGTTTGCCTACGCAAGTTTGTCTGTGCAAGTTTGTCTGCGCAAGTTTGCCTGCGCAAGTTTGTCTGTGCAAGTTTGTCTCTGTAAGTTTGTCTGTGCAAGTTTGTCTCTGTAAGTTTCTCTGTGCAAGTTCTCTGTGCAAGTTTTCAGTGTAAGTTTCTCTGTGCAAGTTCTCTGTGCAAGTTTTCTGAGTAAGTTTCTCTGTGCAAGTTCTCTGGGCAAGTTTTCTGAGTAAGTTTGTCTTCGCAGTTTCTCTGTGCAAGTTTGTCTGCACAGGTTTTCTCTGTGCAAATTTATCTGTGCAAGTCCTCTGTGTCAGTTCGCTGTGCAAGCTTGTCTGTGCAAGTTTGTCTGTGCAAGTTTGTCTTTCCAAGTTTCTCTGTGGTTCACTTCTCTGTGCAAGTTTGCTGTGTAAGTTTGTCTTCGCAAGTTCTCTGCGTTGCAAGTTTGCCAGAGAACCCAGCGGAAGAACCCTTCGCGATGCTTTCGGGAAAAACATGGAGAACTAACACTGCGAGAATAGTACCACCTATGCTCAGCACAAAAACTGCAGTTGCCGAATCCATCTCAAACAACCCCTCAAAACAGAATCGCCTCCGAAGCAAGTGCGGGTTGCAGCCGAGGATTCTGGAGAAGGTGCGCGCCCTGCACATGAACCTGAGCAAGTCCGATGACAAGATCAACGACACGTACAGCCGTGGGTTAGTCGATGGCTTTGACAAAGCGATACCTGCTGGCACTTCTTGGTGCTGTGTTGCTTACCCATGTGTGTGTATGTCCACCAAGGATGCAGAAAACTTTGCTGGCCGAGTTTGAGCAGGCTAGGAAATGGTCACGGCCCAAGTATGTGCCAAGTCTCATCCATTCAATGTAAGCCTGCTCAAATTCTGGATGAAACATGTGCTAGCTCTATGGGTCCGAGTGGTGCATGGTGAGTTTCTCTGAGGGCTATGGAGGCCGTTTGTCTTGATGACCGTGTCAAGCGAGAGCCTTACATCCGGTTGGCCACACAAGTGCTTCAGTTTCATTAGGCTCCCACTGCCCAACGTGAGCCTACCCTAAGGATGGCCTTGAAGAATTCCGACACCCGCAAACCTGCTGGACCGACAGCACCCAAGAAAAAGAAGGTGAAGAAGGGTGATGCTGAGCCTTCCTCGGCTGAACCCAAAACAAAGGGCAAGGCCAAGGCTGAGTCTTCTGGCCCCCGCTCTAAGAGGCAGAAAGCTGCTTGAGTCAAGATTTGAACTTCTGCTGTAAGGCAGTTTTGACCAGTAGATTTGGGCGCCGTGTGGAAACACTTGGGGCTGTTTCAGCATTGCACGGGCAACGCGCTGTGGAGAGAAAAGGAAACACTGTGACATCCACCCGCTGTCAATGCAAACATGGCCTGTAGTCTCTTCTGGAAAGATGGTTCCACTGGGTTTGCTTTCTCTCTCTCTCTCTCTCTCTCTATCTTTCTCTCTCTGGGCGCCAGGCGGGTGTGAACGAACTGCCCCCGATGAGCATCTGGCGGAGACCTTTGGAGATGGAGCGTGGGGCCCAGTGTCATGTTTGAGGCTATTTGTTTTGGAACGTACATCCTGTTTTTAGGCTGTCCTTCTTCGTCATGTTTTCCGTACTTGGACCCTGTGTGTTGCCCCAATGTTGTTTGCCTTTGGCTTTGGCTTTTCTGTTGTTGTTATGATGTATGTCATCAACAGTTGGACACAGTTGGTGTTCTCCTGGATTGATGTTTGCCTGCGTCCTTCAGTTTGGGTGGTGTCTGCACACCTACCTGTGCTACAGGAAACCATCCTCTAAACTTACACGATTGAAGTGTATTGAATCTACCTGCAAGTATTGGGTGGCACCTCAACCCCATCTCCAATCCTCAGGTTGGTAAGAGCCCTTTCGCCTCAGGCAACTGGCGTCGACACGAAGCTGAGCACAGTTGCTCAGAATCCTAGCAAGAGACGCCGGCTGACCACTTCAGAGCGGGCTGTGCTGTCCAGGAATGCTGAACGTGACATGCACAGACGGTACTGCCGCCTGGGGCTTTCCATACCAGTTCATGTACAGTCTCTGGACCACACTTTACGGGGCCAGCCTAAGTTCGACACCCACTTCACCCATGTTTCCGAATGGATGAGAGTGTTGCTTAAAATGGCGCCCCAATCGTTGTTTGGAGATGCGGATCCGGAACAGCAGTGTGCCGCATTCTGGAGCTTATACGAACAACACCACCCAAGTCACCAGGTGTACCAGCATCGTCGGGGCGATCTTCATCGAACTCTTCCTATCTTGATTTTTGGGGACGAAGGGCGAGGCCCTAAACGTGGAAATTTCTTGATTTGGACATTCGAAACCCCGTTTGGGCTGAAAGATCTCGAGCCAACCTGGTCCTGTGGGTGTACCCAAGCTTTGGAGACACTGCCGGAATCCGACATCACGCGCTGCAACTTCGAAAGAGAAGTTCCGCATGATTTGTTGGCCAGGGCTTCCAAGCAAACAACCAACTATGCAGGGCACAGCTATCTGACAAAGCACCTGCTCTTTGGAATCCCACATTGGAAGTACAAGGCTGACAAATCGCCGGTCCACAAGCACTGGGAAATTTTGGCCGAGGACATGAGCCGTCTTTTTCACGAAGGCCTGGAAGTGAATGGTCCCTTGCCTGATGCACGGTAGTGTTTTCCTTATGTTTTTGCAAACCTCAGTGAATCAAACGTGTTATCATGTTTGCCCCCTGTGTGTTGTTTTGTGTTGTTTTTTGCATCAGGCAAACGATACTTTGCCGCACTCATTGGAAGCAAGGGGGACATGAAACACCACATGGAGTGCGGGCATCTGACCCGCAGCTACCACACAATTGGTGATGGAACCATGATGTGCAGTTTATGCGAAGCAGGTTCTGAAGACATCCCCTTTGAGACCGCTGCTCACGCCCCTTCATGGGCGGCCACGATGGGCCAAACACGCCCTTGGGAGACGCAGCCGGCTTTGGCCTCGATCCCCTACGACACTGGGTCTCCCGAACAGGTGTTCCAGCTTGATGTCTTTCATCTCTTCAAAGTCGGCCTCGGCCGTGATCTTGCAGGCTCAGCCATTGTCATCATGGCACAGCTGGGGTTCTTTGACAGCCCTGGCGATTCGAAAAGCCTGGAACATCGTTTGGAACGTGCCCATGGGTCCTTTTATCTCTGGGCATCTGTGGAGCGGTGTGCGCCAGGACTGAGAAGCTTCAAGCCAGCTTTCTTTAATGTGAAAAATCGATCATCCTTTCCGTGGTCGAACAGCAAGGGAAGTGATACAACTCTTTTACTCAGGTGGCTCAAATGGCTGACCGCCCTGCATTTGCTTGACCCTTCGGCTGTGAATCCGGAACACCTTACCCTCTTGAAGGTCTTGAAGCACACCGTGATCAACAGCTTGGAAGCCTTTCAGGTGATGCATTCTCACGGGCTCTGGTTAGACCGAACCTGCACGAAACACTTGTATTCTCGCATTATGCTTCTCCTACAGGGGTACAAGTCCTTAGCAAGAACGGCGAGTGATTTGCGACAAGCAGGATTTGGCCTAAAACCAAAATTTCATGGATTACACCACGTAGCCTACCGACTCGCCGGGGATCTGAGACGTGGTGCAGTGAGGATTTTAAATCCGTTGTTCGCTGCATGTGAACAGTCGTTGGCCGCGTTTCTCGTTTGAGTCGGAAGCTGAGCACACGGACGCTGACTTTCCGTGTGTTGCAGCGTTATTTCCTCAAGAAGAGGGCGCTCCTGGCACGAAACATGCCTGTTGCAGACATGCCCGTTGCACGCGCAAACGCGGCAAAGGTGTGACTGGGGAAGCTGTTGGTTGTCCATCCCAAAAAACACCAAAAACCTAGGTGAGCCATTCTTTGCCTTAATGACTTTAGCTCCCAAATGTCCACTCAAAATAACAAAAGAACACGTTTCCTCATAATGACAACTATTGTTTCTCCAATCAAAAAGATTCCCCTGAAGAAGTGGGTCCCTGACGTTGGCTGAACCAGCCCCGCACACCTTGCAGCTCAGCTAGGGCACCAGGCCAAGGAGCAGCTCTGCTGCACCCGCGACAGGGTGGCCGCATGGCCGGCGAAACGCGGCAGCGTGGCGGGGCTAGGAGAGCAGGGGGTTGGTTTCGAAGGGTTGGTTTGGGTAAGTGTTGTTATGACTAGTTCCTTGTTGAAATGACTCTGAAGATTAGGAGCGCAGATGGTAGCTCAAGGGCTAATGGAATCTTGTTGAGTGATTTTGGGGATGTCGTTGTCACAGTTGTAGTCGGCACAGGGTTGCAATGAAGCAATTGGGTTCCTCAGCTCTCTTCTGATCAAAGCCGTGGCTGAGTGGCCGAGACGATTTCATGAAACGGCGTTTCCATGTTTGTAACGGCGTTTCTTGTTTTTCATTTTTTGTAGCGGCATATTTTTTAGGAAACGGCCGAAGTTCAGAGGAAAACCCTAAACGGCAGAAATAAGTGATTTCGGATTTTGTAGGTATAGACATATGGATATTCAGATTAAGATTCTTGCATGCCAAAAGGAGAGCTGTATTGGCGCACTGTCGCAGTCCTGAAACGGGGGCCCTGTTTCTTTGTTTTTGTTTTGTTCTAAATTATTATCATTATTATTATTTGACCTATACCTCTTGCTAACCTTTCTTGGGGCCCATGATATATATAAGGCAAACGCTAGAATGGAGGTAACCCAAACCTGGGGTTGAAAAAACGGGTCTGCGGCCAATTGTACCGACCCGAGTGATTCCCCTGACAAGCTTCTAAGAACCCTTGCTGTCTTGGGGTCTGGGGTCCTGTGTGTGTGTGTATTCTGAGGTCCCCTTTCTGGGCTTCAGCTGCGCCACGTGGTCTTGAAGATCTTCTCGAAGCCCAGGCGGAAGCCAGCTATTCGCCTCGCTTCGAGCGCACGATCGGACGAGATAGCCCCTTTGCGGAGCCCAGCTGCTGACGATGGGTAGCCCATCTTCTGCAGCCCTCAAATGAGTAACCTCTGGGGACCTTTTGTAGTTTGGCCTGATCATCTCTTGTCTCCATGCACTCAGGGGGTCAATTGTCACAACATTTAATTACCTCCTGGTTTCCTCCGAATGAGGCCTTCCTAAGGCCACAAGTTAGGGCATTGCTGTCATGCTGCGACGCAGCGAAAAGGGGCGCAGAAGATGGACACCGTTTTGTTCAGACCACGCGGACTTTCGGAACAGCTGGCGGTTCCTGCTCAAACATTGAAGGCTACATACGTGCTAACACGGAACCCAACAAACTCCTTTAACAAGGTGGGCACGCCAACGATTTGCCAAACACTTTCTCAGAGCCAAGATTCGAGTGAGGACAGTCTGTTGCCCTTCGAGATCACGCCCTTCGAGACGTCAGTTTCGATGTCATGCCGTTTACCTCTCGAACCTCTTGATTGATTGCAACGACCAACAGCCTTTTAAATGGAAGTGACACAAAACTTGAGACGGGTAAGTTAAAATAATTTGCCAACCCAAACTAAAACCAAGACCCTTACGAAAGCAGCAGTCTTTATTTTAGCTGCGAGGTCGCCCAAACATTTCCCTGCCCCCTTCGCCACCAGCTAAGGCCCCTGCCGACGAACCGGCTCTTCATCATCCTCCACAAGCCCGGGTTTGTCGCATGGCCTTCAAAGGGAACCAAAGGATATGCCAGCCTCGGCGTCCCGATTTGTTTGCATGGAACGCAACAAAAATCCGGTACGCAGAAGCACCCCCTTTTGCAGGACACCTCTTGCAGGCTCCAGGTTAATTTCGGACGAGTCAGCACAGGGGGGGAAGGCAACGAAGGCATCGTTGCATGGCTTTCAGGCCTTGCGAAAGACATTCGACTTGGCACGTGCTGTGTCCATCACAAACCTTTACAAAACCATGCCCACTTGTCCAAGCAAGGATCCGGAAATAAAAGGTTTACTCCTCCGCACCCACAATAGGCCAGAGCTGGAAAACCAAAAAAGGTCCCAAGGGTACTTCCCGGTGGTTGACCACGCCTCCCTCGACATCCCGACACTAGCAACAGAAATCGAGCAAAAGGGCCTCTGGGTAGGCTACGAGAACCGGGCAGCTTTGTGTTCAAACATTTCCACCATCCACTGGCTAAAAGGTTGCCGGTGACTTCATGACTTCATGACCTCCTGTAGTGGGCATATGGGTGAATCCCTGCTTGCATGCGGTTCTCAAAAGAAGGAAGCGTCCTTTTGGCGGAACTTGAAGGGGGGGCTGGTTGCGAAGCCGAATCAGTTGACGGAGGTAAGACTTATTACAAGCTTCTAAGATGGGTCATGGACAAACATCAACAAACTGCCTGACACCCTAGTACAGTATATTTCATATGTCAAACTCAAGGCATCTTTGGCCAGTTGTAAGAAAAACACCAAATTGAAGACAGCCAGTTCGAAGGCAAGGCAACACCAATTGTGATATCTGACCTCTGGGTTCTTCGCCACATTTTACGAATGAAACCAGGTTGCTGCGTAGGGTTTGCTGTTGCCAGTCCAGGCCAGTATGAGCCAACAAGGGTGGGGTCCCGAATGCGAGGCCTTTCCAGATGTCTGTTTGTCAAAACTCAGGGCCAACATCCCGCTCGTGGTTGGCATTGGGTCATTGTTGCACTCCCTCCTTTTGCGCACAGCGTTTGCCCGTGCCACACCGCCCGCCTCTTTCACCGGGCCGTCCTGTGCGTTGCAGTCGGCGTCTCGTCACTAAGGCCAGCCCCCACTCTGAAATGGTTGTCGAAACCACTTGGATCGCCACCGCAATTTGCTATCTTTGAGAACTGCTACAGTACGTCTGCTGCTGTTGCTTATTCTCTATGCTTTCGTTGTCAACATGACCCTTGCAATCCTTGCAATCGAGTATAATTGCAACAACTCAACTCCAACACGAACAGCCAATGTGGGCGTCCTTTGCAAAGCGAGGTAGAGTAACATTCATACTAGTGAAGCATCGAAAGCAATCTGGTCCCTTTGCGTCGACTGGATTGAAGCTGCCAGCCTTCTTCCGAGGGAACTTGTGGCCTCAGTTGTGGCGCGCGCGCTCGGCTGATCTCCTCTGCGCAAGGCAGAACAGAAAGCACGTAACCAACGGGGTGGACATCGTGGACATGTTGGTTGGCCCTCACTGAACTCAGCAGCCTAAAATTGCGAACCATGATCTTGAACCCGCAACTCAAACTCGTGTTGGTATGCCTGGACAACCGAGCCGAGAAGAGCCATCCGAACAGGTGTTGGAAAGAAGAAACGGCAGTGCAGCAAAGATAGGCACCGTTTCGGGGATGGGGTGGGAAGACAGTCAACTGGAGGCGTACCCTCTCTTTGTGCAACAGTCATTATGGAGGTTGGGTAGTCTTTGTCCTCTCGTGTCCTCCTCACATGAATCCGTGGAAATCGGTTCGGCTCGAAATCAGAGACCGGTTCATCCAATGGGCGATGCCTTGCATTTGTTTCTTCAAAAACCATTCACAAGAGGGTTAAGAAATGTGGAGATAGACTTTTTGGACGACCGGTCCGAATAACCAAAGCTACAGTTCCTTCCCCCAATCACAAGAGCTCGATGTCAATCAAACACTTCCCACACTGCCCACCCCATACATCAAAAAACAGAAACATAATCTAGTGATGAAATCGTCTCATCGACACTCAGAACAAAACATCACCGTTCAAATTCAATGGCCTTGGGTGTTGGTCAGCCTAGTGGGCAGTATGTCATTCCACCCACGGAAAGCTGTGGTGCTGATGGAAGAACATAGTATTGCAAACCAGCAGCCACTGCGTAAGCCTTCAACCCCAAAACACAACAGTCAGATTGTGGTTCTTTTAGAATTCACCTGAACATACCCCTCACAAAATGTCGCATTCCATTTGGTCTGGTGGCAAAGGCTTGCTTCAAATGGCCAGTCCATGCCTCGTCTTTCAGACGCCCTCATATTGGCGAGTGCCGACCGGATGTCCGGCGCGCCCTTTACCGCGGAAACCCCAAGGGCCCCAGCGCAGCGCAGCGATGCGCTCCGCCTCGTAGGGGGAATCGAAGAAGCGCGCCTGGCTTGAGCTGGGAGAAACATGGAGACCCCTATTGTCGATGAACGAAATCCTGCACCACCTAAGACACCCTGGAATGAAGATTCCCCTAATTATTAATACCAACTAACAATGGTTTCCCATGGCTTCCAAGTGGTGCAGGACTTTGTCCATCCACAGTATCACTTTCTTCCTGGCTTTCTGCAATATGGAAATGTAAAATGAGAGCCCCGAAAACCATCAACGGATATTTACTTACCAACCATTGGGCCATTCGGGAAACGCAACGAGCTTGAAGGGGGAAACCTGGAAGCCTCCACAGCGGCGGCCAAGAAAGCAATAACATGACATGCATATGTATATGTGTATATATATATATATATATTGTATGACTACAGGTTTGCGCAATGTGTGATGCAAGTTAACATGTGTGTTGAACAACTCAATAAAGGGCGGCTTCACAGACTTGCTGAGACATAAAATAAATCCCGTCAAGTGCCGCAGTGTTTCTTTTACAATGGGATCATTATTCTCAAAAAAACATGATCAAGTGCTTGTTGCCAAGCTGCTTCAACAAGACAGCAGTTTTGAAAAATATGGTGAGCTTTCAGGGGCGCACATGAGATCTTATAAAAGCTAATGG